AGGCTCAAGCTATTACATCCGCTACTCAATTGATAGAGAACTAAATTTCTCACTGCTCACTATCCTCATCCATATGAGAAAATGTTATTAGGCTGCAGTCCTGTCCAGTTATGCTGTTTAAATTTCACTGAAGTCAATGTGATTTAAACAGTCTTGGCCATGTGTGGAACTTCAGTTTTATTCAAAAGCAAGCATTAATATATATTAGTTCATAATCTCCCACATGGTTTTTCTCCTAGGGAACGAACAATGGAAACCAATGCACATCTACTCAGAAATAATATCTACTGAGTTCAAAGGGGCAGGAAAGTGTGAAGAGGACACACTGCAACGTGTACGTGTGCGAAATATATCTATTAACTTGCACAAAGATGAATCTCTGACACATAAGCTTTCTATTAAATAATAGCATCAATAAAAAAGATAACCAAAACGAACAGCACAGACAACAAAGGATATGACAGTAAATAGTTTTCAAATATGAATCTATTGATTAATTAATCTGTGGCATTTTCTTAACATGCATCAGTGACTTTCGTAGAAACAATACTATTTATCAATATCTTTCTATATCTCCATTCTTTTATTTTCTTAAGTTTTGGGGCAGGGCAATGAATTGTGTTTTTAACATTTTGTTGGGAGCTGCCCAGATGGGTGGCATATAAATAATAAAATCACTACCACCACCATCAGCATCACTATTATTAGCAAAACTTTAAATATTCACTTTTCTGTTGCTGATAACAGAAACAGTCTATAAAAATGTTCTTAAAGTTGTTGATGTTACTGGTGAAATTAACAGTTATTAACAACGTGGCATGAACATCCAGAACGGGATATTGCAATGAGATCTACAGTATGGGGCTGCCCTTGAAGATGACTCAGAAATGTCAATTGTGGTTTGAGGACCCGATCCCCGCATAGTGGAATGAAAACACAAGGACACGTGATATAAGGTTAATGGGTAAGAAAAGGCCACAACTTTATTGATTACAGCAAGTGAAAAGGTATTGGTTTAGGCATTGGATTACGTCAGCTGACTCCACCCCCTCAGAGAGGGGTGAGTCTAAAACAGGGGGGTTTATTCACCAGTAGGTGGAGCCTGTTGATGCTAATCCAACTATAAGCTCTCCCCTGATGTCACCGAGGGTCGTGCCATGGCCTCCCGCCACACAGGCATCGGACAGAATACACGACTGCCGGATTCCTTTAACGGAATACCCAAAAATTGAAGGCGCAGGCAATGGCCACACCTAGCCCTTCGACACACCACAACACATTATTTCAATGCCTAACCTACCCACCAATACCACGAAAGTTGTGACGATTGCTACGAGGTAGGCGAAAAAACCAAAAAGCCTAATGCCAAATGGAAAAAATCCTACCAGCCCCCCCCCCCCGGACAACCAGGGCGACCAACCTAAGGTCCATAGCAAGGTCAAAAGAAAACTGAGACCCTGACCTCTAAGGGAGTGGAGGGTGGGTGACTTGCGACGGGACGATGAAGAGTGAGGCCGGAAGGCTGGCGCCGCAGCAATTTAGGCTGCTATACACGGCCCCTCGCAGGCTGCCCCCAATGCAGCAGCCAGACCACAACCACTCCCCTCTCTTGCAGGAGGAGAGTCTTTAGTCCAAAATGCAGCAGCCAGATTACGAGTGGGAGTTCCCACATAACTCCTGTTCTAAAATAGCTGCATTGGTAGCCCTGCCTTCCATGGCACCAGTCTCAATGAATACCAGCCACCACCACTGCTTTGTAGCTGCCCCTGGGCTGTGCAACTCTATTCTCAAAGAGGTGCCTCCAGCAATTTCACTATCGTTTTCAGCAAATGCTGAAAACTTTATGTACCTCTTTACCCTGGCCTTTGACACCTGTTTAAAGGACCCACCTTATTTTTGTAACTGTAATTAGTTTTCAACTGTGTTCAGGGCTGTATTTTAAATTATTTTAACACACCCTAGGAACTTGGGGTGAAGGGCAGGTAATATAATATAATATAATATAATATAATATAATATAATATAATATAATATAATAATGTAATGTAATGTAATGTAATGTAATAATAATATAATATAATATAATATAATATAATATAATATAATATGCAGCCCAATCTTACATATGTTGTCTCAGAAGCATGTCCCATGGAATTCAATCACTCTTGTTCCCCAATGTGCATATAATAATAATAATAATAATAATAATAATAAATTTTATTTATATCCCACCCTCAAGGCAGCTAACATCAAAACATAAAATTCAGCAATCGACTGAAATACAGCTTAAAATTGGATTAAAATCAAAATAAGATCATATGGCTACCTGCAAATTATAACTATAACTACAGGGGATGGGAACCTTAAGTACTCACCAGGCTCAGCTATTTGTATGAGCCAGTGAGGAGATTCAGGTAGGTAGCCATGTTGGTCTGACGCATTTTTAAAAAAATGTCCAGTAGCACCTTAGAGACCAACTAAGTTTGTTCTTGGTATAAGCTTTCGTGTGCATGACGAAAAGGCCAGTCTAACCTCCTTGAGGCCCAGGACCTCCAAGATGTTATTGTTTGCGGACCATAAGGTCCTCCGCAGGGCATACCAAGAGAGGCGGTTCTGTAGGTATGAGGGTCCCAGGTCGTATAAGACTTTAAAGGTTAGAACCAGCACTTTAAACCTGACCCTGTACTCCACCAGGAGCCAGTGCAGCTGATATAGCACTGGTTGGATGTGGTCCCATGGCGAATGCAGCATACTTATTTGGAAATAACTTCCATGACATTAGATTTTTCTTCCAAACAAGGCTGTAATAAGGTTCGGCTCCTCCCCTCCTTTTTCCTTTAAAGAAGCCTTAAGGAAGTGCATCATCCCCTTTGCTCTTGTACTGCAGGCAAAAACAAAGTGCAATTGCAGCAATGTTGTCTCAGAACATTCTGAGAAATATAAGAAACAGTTTTGCCACAGAGAGGCATGGCAGCTGGGATAGGGGCAAGTATTTGCCATTTTTAAAGGGTTGCCTCTATCTGGCAAAACAATACTTACCCAAAAATAACTTTAAAGCAACTGTCTGAAAATTGTAAAAGGAACAGGCTAGTGCCTTGTGTTAACTTTAATGGCAAAAACTGTTCAACAAACACCTATGGCATTTTTTGGAGCAATTGAGGTGTTGCAGGGGATGCGGGGATGAGAGAACTGCATTTAATTTAATGACCTCTAATTTAGGTTGTGTATTCCCGCACAATATAGACGTATGTTTGCATGTACAGTGGTACCTCGGGTTACAGACGCTTCAGGTTACAGACTCCGCTAACCCAGAAATAGTACCTCGGGTTAAGAACTTTGCTTCAGGATGAGAACAGAAATCATGCGGCGGTGGTGCAGCGGCAGCGGGAGGCCCCATTAGCTAAAGTGGTACTTCAGGTTAAGAACAGTTTCAGGTTAAGAACAGACCTCCAGAACAAATTAAGTTCTTAACCTGAGGTACCACTGTACACACATTGAAACAGAATATCAATCGCAAGCTTAGCAGTGGTGGCGGGTGCTCATTGGAACTGGGAGGGTGGATTGCCCACAAAAAATAAGGGGAGAATACTTCATTTTCCACCCCAAAACATTAAAAGCCTGCCCTTGCAGGAAGACCACTGCAAACGTCTTTCTGAAATGCAGTGGGCTTCATCCTCTTGACAAGCGCAACCATGTCTGCCATCTGCATCCAATTTTCCATACTAGTCAGTGGGGTTGAAACACTGCTTTGGGTTTAACAGGTCAAATTCAAACTCAACTAATGTTATCAAATCAGAATGACACAAGAGTAGCTCTGCAATGGATCGAGCTGCTTCCAAATGCTATTTATACAAGGTGAATCTCGCAGTTGCTGCACACCCTAGCTGCTTTTTATTTTAAATCTTTATTCATAGGTCCCATCATTCTAGTATCGCAGTTTCTTCAGTGGGATAGAAGGCAGATGCCATCATTTCCCATCATCTCTGGATAGTTAGCAGTTAAAATTATGAATTCTTCATGATTAAATTATCTTGTTCTAATTGCTCTTTTGCATGTAATTATCAGAGTGGATTTAATAAGCATAGGAAACAGCACGACATGCCAAAATGTAAAAATAAAACTGATGGTGCTCCAAGATTTAAATAATGAACATCTCAGTCAAACTCTGCAATTAAGTTTGGAGAACTATGTTTCAAACAGTGAGCAGCTATGCTCCAGTCAGGGCCAACCCAAACCCACAGGCAGTTGCTATGTGCTTGTGTGCACATGTATGTGCATGAGAGAGAATTCAAGGGACCATGAACTGCCATGGAAAACCCTCAAAGAGGTTATGCAGTCTCTCTCCCTAGCCCTGAGACTTGGGGTAACAGGCCTGCGCATGAAATAGATGTGTCCCACCCCCCTTTTTAGTTTTCCCAATAACTCACTCCATGGGAAAGGATAGCAATAGGGACAAATACAGCCTTTCCCCTGTGTGAAACAAGATGGGGGAAAGGAAGCAAAATAATTTTTTGCCAAGGGAAACAATATAGCCTGACCAGTTCTGGCACCAGCATAGCTTGTTGGAAAATGTTTAAATAAACTCAAGGCCAAATTTTAATTGGGAGAGTGTGAACTACTGAGTGCCAGGTTATATATTAGGGAATGGAATGCAGAAAAGTAAGCTTACTCAAGTTCAGGAACTCGATCAAAGTGAAACTTGTGAAATACACGTTCATGTATTGCTAGACAAGTTAAAGCAAGTGGCAAAAATAAAGAGTACAGCTGGGCAGTATGAACTTAAGGAATTATTATAATATCATGCAAAGGATGGAAAGATACATATTACCTACATACCTACATATTATCAATCCAATGAATGTTGTTCCAAGGAAATATCACACTTTCAAAGCTTGCTGAACCATTACTCTAGCTTACTGTAGAATAGATCCCCAGCTATTGTGCTGTCCTCTTTGTTTGTATGCCTGCCTCTCCACCTGGCTGCATTGGAGTTCTTTAAAATAATGCATAATTCAAAGCACAATGGCAATTCCCATATCACTTTAGAAGGAAGCAATGGTGATATTTCCATTTATGGAGACACTTAAAATATTGAAATTCTGAACAGCATAAACAACCGGATTCTTTATTCTGATCAGAATTCAAATATTTTAAAGTGTCTCCACAAATGGAAACACGCTCATTGCTCCTGTAAAGTGATATAGGGATTGACACTGTGCTTTGAATTCTGCATAACTGAACAACTCCAATGCAGCCAGGTGGAGAGGCATACATAATCTAACTAACCTTGTTTATGGCTAGAGACCTCCTACGAGATGCTTAGGTCAATTATTTGTGCTTTTACCTTGCTATGAGACACAGTCTATTGCCTTTTGTGTGTGTGCTTGAATTAATACCTTCATGTGAGTATGAAGAGTATTGCATTCTGGCATGAGACTTATGAGGTTGCAAAATGTGGTTCAGCAAACAAATTCTGTATCTTCTCCCCTGCAGGTGATGGTGGTGGATGATTTTGAGCTGGAAAATTACCCAGGGGGAAAGGATTAAGCAGTTTCTCTCTGCCTTATATAACATTGGCTTTTTGAAAACACAGAAAGGAAAGTAGAACTCACTGTGATGTGTCATGTCTGTCTAAATCTTTCCCCCTCTTTTTTAAAGGGTAAAACTTCATGTACAGTATACTGCCCAAACCCCCCCGGGAGGAAGAATAGGATATTGTTACATGGCCCCAGGCCTAAGTTATCTTAAGTTCCAGGGGCACAGCACTTACCCAGATTTGGCTTCTTTTAAAAGTAACAGATGTGTGGGAACTTACAGTATTTCTAAAATCATTTCCCCCCCTACTAATATACAAGAAGAGAATAAGTGCAAGTATTCTACTCCTAGCTGATGCAGCTTGCAAGGCGAGGCAAAGCTGGTACTCTAGCTTCTCAGCAGGTGGAGTGCTGATACTTACTGGCAAACTTTTATTGCCACCAGTAAGCTCAGACCCAATTCCTATTCAATCTCTGTTTTTCTCTCGTAGCGTGTCCTGCACACTCGTAGCGTGTCCTGTAATAGCGGTCACTTCTCCAAACAGCAAAAAGCAAAGATGACTGCAACTGGGCCATGTAGTGTTTCACTTCTCTCTGTGTAAGATGATCCCTATATTGTGCATTTGGCAGAAACTGGTGGGGAAGAGAATTCACAAATTATTTATCTTGGTTTAATCACATTAACTTCAGTAGGGTTCCACTACTTAAAAAGCAATATGTGAGGCATATGCAAAATCTCAGGGAATGTGTGATATTTTTCAGCTAAATAAACACATGCGCCCTCTAGCCATGCCAAGCAATTCTGCCAGATTGCCCATGCAACTACAGTGGTACCTCAGGTTACAGACGCTTCAAGTTACAGACTCCGCTAACCCAGAAATAGTACCTCGGGTTAAGAACTTTGCTTCAGGATGAGAACAGAAAGCAGCAGGAGGCCCCATTAGCTAAAGTAGTACCTCAGGTTAAGAACAGTTTCAGGTTAAGAACAAACCTCCAGAACGAATTAAGTTCTTAACCAGAGGTACCACTGTACAAGGAGGCCTGGATGGCTGCTTTCCAAGCTTTTTGTTTTTACAACCAGATAATCGTCGTGTAACTTTCATTCAGTGATAACTGGACTTGAACTTATTTGGACTTGAACTTCTGTTGCTTTCAGCAGCTCTCATCATGCTGATATGTACCAACCTCACTTCTAAAACTATGGCGTTAGCAAGGTAAACATAACTTGCTGGGGCTGCTGGGAGATAGGAATTAATCAGTAAAACGAAGAGTTGTCCGGGGGAACTTGTTTTCCCTGCAGAACAAGTTTGGTATGTTGCTGAAGCACTTGTTTTTAATAGAGAGAAACTAGAGAAGCAAGAGTAGTTTTGCTTTCCTTTTGATTTAGGCTGATGTTTGTAACTGTTACTGTTATCAGGCGTTGTGGCTGTGCAGTGCCACGCATGTTATGATTATGTCATTAGGAATGAGTGGACAGTAGTAGTTTTATACCTCCCAGGGTGAAAGCCCGTCTGGTACAGAACTGGGTCCCTCCCAGGTGAGAGATAGGAGAGAAGTATTAGATGATTCAGTGGGTGTAGGGCATGAGCCCATTAGTGTTTCAGAGATGGGGAGAATATCTTACACGTGTTTGTCAGGGATCCATTTTACGTGGGTGGTAATATTGTTAAGTATGAGTGGTTGGTTGACAGAGATAATGTACAAGGTAATGAATGATTATAGTGGCTGAATGGATTGAGTGAGTGAGTGACAGTGTTTGTAGGAATAGTGTGCTTTATGTTGGTTGAGATTTTACATTAGGCTGCCTTGTAATGCTCTCTGACTTTATATTGTGTTTATGGCTGTGGATATTTTTTATGTATTTGGAATGTCTGTCTGTCTGTCTGTCTGTCTATCTATCTATCTATCTATCTATCTCTCTATCTATCTATTTTGTAAACTGCTTTGAGATATCCGGATAGTCAGAAGTCTCTAACTGGAAATAATAAACAATAAAAATATATAATAAGTGCAGCACACTGACAAATAAGATAGCAGTCATGGACAAATGGAGCCCCTAACCTGCCACTTTTATTACTTTTTAAATACTATATAATATTCCATATGTTTATGCTTGTTTTTTGTGAAGTTTAGGAATCCATTTGTGACCAATAAAATACTTTAACATTCTTTTTTTTTTTAAGTGGAGGAAAAACCCCTGCACATAAACTGGTTACTGCACATTGTTACAATAATTTGTACTGCCCTGCAGATAACACTAACATCACACAGGTTGCATTACCTTGGCCAACCATCTCAGAGAATACCAAAATATTTATGTGTTACCCAGACATTATCCTGCAGAATAAAAAGCCACAATAGAATAGGAAAAAAAAAAATTAAGAATAAAAGCTAAGCAGCACAAAAATGAACATTGCAATGCAACTGTGTAATAATAATTATTGTCGTTTAAAGCATTTGAAAGCTGCCCAGAGGGCCATTACAGGACATGTAGTGAAAGAGAATTTTTAAAAAAGGACACAGTGACATATATTTCTGAAACCAAATATCTGCTAGATTATGACAACAATTTACTGTGCTTACCGTAATTGAAACCAACAGCCTAGTAACTGTTAGGTTAATAGATTTTTAACAATTCATGGGCAGATACATCATAGAATGATACTGTAAGATTTCTCTTCGCTGTTGTCTGCTCCACGTATTTCAGCCAAATTAGGCCAGGCAAGGGTCCTAATTTAACTTTGGTTGTGGGACAGTTAGGAATACTGGTTCCCTCAGCTTCACTTGTATAAACAAAGGTTTAGGTATTTGTATTTCTTTAATTTTTCGCTGCCACGATTTTCTCTCAGAATGCTTGCGAAACCTCCTAGTAGTTGGTTTATTAGGCTTAGGCATGAGAATGGACATCAATACTAGGATGACAGGGTGAACTTTAAAATTGTTCATTTGTGAAAGGGATGTCATATCCATAAGTATATACATGATACTTACTGGGGTCTTAAAGATGCTTGGTGGCCATTTCTGAAGACTCGGGACATGTTGTTGCTGGCGTCAGCCCCTAAGTAGCTCATACCTCTGGCCAAATTCCCTAAACTTCTCACAATCCACTGTGCTTCTGGTTGTCCTTCTGGCTGCTTGGACAGTTTACGCCACTTGTGCAGCCTCCCGCTGGTAAGACCTTTACGCGGGGCAACCTCTCATACCAACTCAGTCACCGTGCCCCTTCTGATCTTTACCAGACGAGGAAGCACAGTGGGCTTTAATATCCACACCTCAATTTTCCCCCTCAGCTGTTCTCTGGATCTACTCCTAGCACTTTCTGCAACACCTTTTCCCCCCACCAGCTCAACTGCTGTAATCCCAACCGCTTGGTTTTTCCTGGACATTTAACCTCCAAGTGACTGTGACTGGAACCTCTGCCCTGTGGGAATCTGATGTCGTTCACACCAATCAGATTAAATTTTCCCGATCCAGGCCGTCTAATAAAATCATAGAGTGATAATGCCTCTCTCCTCTCAGAAACTGTCACCAAGATCGAAGGCCACGCAGGCTTACAACATTGTAACCAAATAAGGCCTCAAACTCTGCCATAGAGGCAACAGAACATCCCCCCCACCTTTTCAGATGAAACATAAACGGATATGCACTTTTTGGGGGGAGGTTCTTTTGTTAACAGTGCTCACCAGCATGGCGCACGGGAACCTCTCTTTTTTGCTGCCCATGGCAGCCATTTTGTGCTGGCACCCACAGCACTTTGATCAATGTGTGTGGGCACCTCATATATATTTTTACAAAAATAAAGAAGAGAACCCCAAATGGACATAAACATAGATATACAGCATTTATCCACATGCACATAAAGATGCAGCTGCAAAAGTGTGAGCCTTTTTCTGTAGCCCATCATTCCTATACCCTGCCCATAGAAATGGATGTACCATTACTTCTTTAATAATAAAAAATAGTTCAAATAGACATACATTTGGTGTTCCAGTTTTCATTCAAGGTACACTATCCTTTTCTAAATTTTCTAAATTGACAAAGGTAACTCTCTGGAAGGCATAGAATTTTGCCCCTCTGAATGCATCTTCAGCTTTCTACACAGGAAAGTGAAATGAATAAACTGTGGCTGATGGGACTGTCTTCACGCAATATTTCTTCAGGACCTCTGAATCAGTGCGGATTAGATCGTTTTGAACTGATGTGATATATAATTGCCCATATCATAATCATTTCCTGGGGTTTGGTTGGAAGGGATAAGAATAAAGCTACAGAATTTGAGTGAAGTTGTTTTTATCATTGGAATTACAAGTTTTAGGGCAGTAGACAAAATGCTTTTGCAATTGGCACAGAATGTGATTCAAGTTTACATATTGGGAGCTTTAACTCTAGGAGCATGAATTAGACTTGAAACACATCTATGGCTCTAGGTCTTTATTTTCATGTAGTCCTCATAAAAAAGGACCCAGCACCCATTTTGTTAGTTTCTTTCCCATGCTCAAGCCGTTTTAACATATTCTTTTGACAGCATTTTCAATTTCTAAACATGCCATGACTCATGCAGTAAGTGTGTGTGTGTTTTGCATACAGTAAGGAGGGGGGGGGGAGGAGATTTGTTCCATGAATATTTTTTGAATGGAAAACTGAGAGAAAACATTGACAGCTGAAGTGATTATTGTCTTTAACTATCTGAAGCCAACTTTGA